TATTGACTTCTATTTTGTTTAAGACAGGCTTAACAAAACACTCAATATTTATTGTGTTAGAAAGAGTAAACAACACATGATGGTTATTCTGGGTACAATAAAGCTGAGATATTTGCTTCTTTGACAATTAGGGATGCATTGCTTGAAATAAGTAAAAGCATTCGTGCTTATCTGAAAAATGTCACATTTATGTAAACAGAGACCATGAAACTGAAATATGTCAGCATCACTGGTACAACTCCTGTCAGCATCTTCCCTCTAGGAAACGATTTCAAGGGATATTGTCTTTATTCCAATTATGAGACATTTTAGCTAAAACCTATTAGGTCAAAAAATTCTGTGCTAAACCAAATAGCGTTGCCACCTTTGTTAAATATCTCCAAAGTTAATTGAAAAAAAAAATGTTACATTTGGTAGAGAGGTATCAGAAAGCCTCAAGTAGATTACATAATTAGACCAACTTTTTTTAATTTCCTCTGATCATTTTTTTCCTTTAGACTCCAGAACTACTTCTTGTATTGCATGTTTGTGTGTAACTATGATGTAGTATAATGGAAAAGCTGAACTCTCATCCTATGAACACTTGGAATCACTGGTGGGTGAGCTGCTCAGTGAGTAATGTCTATCAAATTTAAGGATTAAATGTACATTCACCAAATTGTCTTGTCTCATTTGGACGGTGAATCTTGTGGGCCTATTATAAATTTTAAAAATATAAAGGAGGCAGTCTGGCCAGTGTTGCTCAATGGTTCAGCACTGACCTATGAACCAATGGTTTCATTCCCAGTCGGGGCACATGCTTGGATTGTAGGCTTGAGCTCTGATTTCCTCCCTTTAAGGGGGTGTGTAGGAGATGGCCAATCAATGATTCTCTCTCATCATTGATGTTTCTATCTCCCCCTCTCCCTTTCTCTCTGAAATGTTAAAAAGAAATATACAGTACACACACACACACACACACACACACACACACACACACACATATGAAGAAAGGAAGGAAAGAAAGCAGACATTTGTGGGGTTTTTTTTTTCTGTCATCAACAAAGATAAGCGAATTGGAAATAAGTGATAAAGAATTTTTTATTTTTCTTCTAGAACTTTTCTTCTTAAGGTTTATAGCAACAGAGTGCATGTGTATGCTATCCTTATATTACATTCATGCGATGCCTACTCAGCTGATATTATTGCAAATGGTGAGAACACAGTGATGTGGACTCTTGTGGAGAGTTGGCATGGCAATGTGGAAAGCACACAGGCTTTATATTCATAAAATGTTTGATCCCTGGTTTCTCTGTTTACTTCAGGCAAGTTACAGAAATCCTCTGAGCCTTGATTTTCTCATCTTATGAAAGGGGGGTAACAATATCTATTTTTCAACTTGTGAGAATTGGGAAAATGCATGGAAAGACCCTGGTTAGCTCTTAGCATAAGCTCAACAGCACTCACTTCCTCATGCCACTCTGGCCAGGTATGATTTCCTGCAACACTTGGGCCTTTGATTCATGTTAACTGATTATACTTAGTAAAAATAAAAATAATGCAAATGGAGATTTTTTTAAAGGATATAATATGTCTTTTCTTAATTTTTAAAATTTGTTTATTATGAGAGACCCAGTGCACAAAATTTGTGCATTGGGGGTGGGGGTGGGGGTTGTCCCTTAGCCCAGTCTGCACCCTCTCCAATCTGGGACCCCAATCTCACTGGCAGTTAGACATCCCTCTCACAATCCAGGACTGCTGGCTCCAAACCGCTCACCTGCCTCTGCCTAATTGCCCCAACTGCTTCTGAATGCCAGCCTGATCACCCCCTAACCATTCCCCTGCCAGCCTAATCAACACCTAACTGCTCCCCAGCTGGTCTGATTGCCCTTAACTGCCCTCCCCTGCTGGCCTGGTCACTCCTAACTGCCCTCCTCTGCCAATATGGTTGCCCTAACTATCCTCCTCTGCAGGCCTGATCGCCCCCAACTGCCCTCCCCTGTAAGCCTCCCCCCCCCCCACTCCGCAACTGTCCTCCCCTGGAGGCCTGGTCCCCCGCAACTGCCCTCCTCTGCTGGCCCAGTCACCCCTAACTGCCCTCCCTGCTGGCCTGATTGCCCACAACTGCCCTCCCCTGCAGGCCTGAACACCCCTAACTGCCCACAACTGCCCTCCCCTGCAGGCCATCTTGTGGTGGCCATCTTGCATCCACATTTGGGCAGCCATCTTGTGTATAGGAGTGATGGTCAATTTGCATATTATTCTTTTATTAGATAGGATAAAGGAAAGATAGGATCCAAACAACAGAGAACAAAAACTGCTGTTTCCGCATAATTGAAATTAGAGGTGAGTTCTGATAGGGCTAAATATGATTCCTTAAAAGAGCAGTTAATCCCCAAAATACACATGAAACCTATTAAGTATAAAACATATCATTAAACTAAATCCTCCCAGAGGCATAACTTAGTCCCCTACACTAGACACATGAGGTGGGCAAATGCCTGTTTTTTTATGGCACTAGGATCTCATTTATGAAATTACCACATTTACAGTGCCCTGGTGGCCCTGGAACTAACTCTCCTCGTAAAGGTTTAAGTTAGAATGCGGGAGATGATCTGCTGCTCTGCTGTCTTCTGCAAAAGTCTCACTAATTGCACAAATCTGGCTTGTATTTGTTCCATTGAGTATCTCAAGGGACATCGTTGTCTACACAGCCCAACTCTGAGATGCACACTGTCTGCACACAGAATATTCCCTACACGTTCCAGCTAGGTTCAGGATTTTAATTAAACAAATTGAGAACCAAATGAATAACAAGGCAGCCAGTTCTTTTAAATAATGAGTATGCACGATTCTCCTTGCTTTACAATGGTAAGTGATGACAAAGGACAGGGTAGCAGCATTACCCGATTTGGCAACAACTATTAAAAAGAAGTTTTAAATTTCTTTCTATAAACTTTTATTTTAAAAAGAGAAATGCGGCAAAAGGTGAGTACCCTTGTGTATTATAACCCATCCCCAAGCTAAGAAGAGAGATCTGTTGGAAGATCTGTGCAGGCCATGCTGATTTGTTGTCCTTTCCTAAATCACTATTAGGATGCACTTACTTTTCCTTGGAGTTAGGTTTCTTCTGTGCCAGCATTGAAAATACACTTCCACATCCTGGAGTTTAAAACTCTAGAAACAGTGCACATTTACAATGCAGTGTAGGCAGCCCCCACTCCTGATCAGAAGGTTTTCTAGACTCATGTCTTCAGACATATCACCTTAAATGTAATTTTTTAAATGCACCTTATTTTTTTATTTTAGACATTTTTGGTGGCATTACAGGAGTTGACCTCTTAGTCCCCTTGGCTCTGGATCTATCAGATGGTCCTGCTTCCCACCCACCTCACCAACCACACCTTTGCAGCCTCTGTTGTTGCCATCCTTCCATTTTCCCTCCTTCTTTCAGACCTGTGAATATGTCCCCCCTCTTATCTGTATTCCCCCCTTATCTCATTCATTTCCATTCCTTTCAGTGCAGATGATTCCCCATATTTATATCTGCACATGATCTCTCCCACAGCTCTAGACTAAGGATATACTAGTAAGCTGTATATTGGGCATCTCCTCTGGAATGTCAAAAAGGCATTTCAATCTCAACATGCCCAAAATAGAATGAGTGATTCCTCCGTTACCTTCACCCCATGGCATCCCCATTCAACAAGTTATTCAGGCCAAACACCTCAGAGTTATCTTGGACCTTCTCTTGCCCTTACATTCTATCTTGAATCAGTAAGCAAGTTCTGCTGGCTCGCTCTTAGACTATAACCCAAATCCATCCACTTCTCACCACCTACAGAACCGCTATCCTGATCTAAGCCATTATCACCTTCCTGCACTACTGAAATAGATTCCAGAACTTGCCAACCTACTGAAGTTAACTACCAGAGTTAAAATTTAAAACAAAACAAAACAAAAATCACATTATTCTTTGGCTTAAAATTTTCCAGAGGCTTCGGATTATCCATTCAGCTGACCATGGTGTCAGATATAATTTGGCCCCGACCTGCCTTTCTCCCCTTGCCTTGTGTCTTTCTCCTCTCCATTCACTCCATTGCAGCGACGCTGTCTTCCTTCTGCTCATTCACCATGCTACAGTCATGCCCACCTTAGAGGTTTTACCCTTGCTCTTCCTTCTACATGGAACATTATTCTGCAGGTCTTTGCATAACCAACCTCTTATTATTCTGATCTTACTGAAATGTCATCTTTTCATCTTGAGCATCCTTTCCAATTTGGCCCACTCTTCCCAAGTCACTTTCTCTATCCATTAATTTACTTTATTTCCTTTCCAATGCCTAAAACAATCTGAAATGTCTATTCATGTACTTGCCTGGTGTCTGTCTCTCCCGCTAGAGCTCCACTGAATCAGGAGCCTGGCATGCATTGTACATGTGTCTTAGCCCACAGTAGGTACTCAATAAGTATGTGTTGAGTGAATATTTTGAATGCATTCCTGATCAACATATCTATGTTAAGATGTATAGACCCATCATATAACAAAATCAAACATAACAACTTAATTCCTTTATAATAATTTAAAATAATAAAATCATGCTCCTGGTGATATAGTTCAGGGACTGGGAAGGCCTTAGAAAGTATAGTGAGTTCTCTCAGAGAGGGGAAGAGAGCACTAGAAGTTCACAACACGAGGGAGGCAGACTCAGGCCTGGTCGGGTCCCCATCAGGGCATCAACCACAGCTGCTACTCCTTATACATTACACACGGGCGACTGCGTGCATCACTGACTACCCAAAGAAATGCAAATTTAGCACCAAAGTGCACACCTACTATGTATAGCAAGCAAAAATATGATCTTACTTCATAAATTTGATTTATCTTCAGCGCATATGCTAGTGCTCATACTACACTGTAGCTTCTAATGAGCAGTGTGCTTGCATTAGAATTTATTATTATTATTATTATTATTTTTAATTTAATTTTTTGTTAATCTCACCTGAGGGTATTTTTCCCCCCATTGATTTTTAGGAATAGTGGAAGAGAGAGGGAAAGACAGAGAGGAACATCGTTGTGAGAGCAACACAATGATTGGTTACTGCCTGCAGAAGCCCTGACCAGGGCCTGGGATGGGGAGGAGCCTGAAACCAAAGCACATGCCCTTGACTGGAATCAAACCCAGGACCCTCTGCTCCACAGTCCAACACTCTATCCACTGAGCCAGGCCAGCTAGGGCTGCATTGGAATCTAGAACGTCTTTTCAGATACCGTGACACATATCTCTTAAAAATATGAACAGAATAGTTTTAACTGACACAGTTTCTCTCCATAAATGTCCACAAACATCTCCTGTAAATATCTGCACAGCAAATAATGGTGGCATTAGCTAAGAGATACAATGAATTTGTTCCATTGAGTAACACATGTACTAGTAAAGCAGCCCTCTTGAGTACCCAAGTCCAGAGAGTCTAGGCCACTTAAAAATTTTGAGCTAATTAGTATTTTTTAAAAATAAAGACATATTGAAGTGGAGTTATCACGATTATGGAATATTTTATTTATTTATTTTGATAATAACTCAATTTTTTCCCTTTTAATTTTTTATTGTTTAGTATTACAAATATTAGTACACATGCCTCCTTTTTTTCCCCAACTGACCTTCCCTCAGCCTCCCCTACCCCTCTAGCACATGCCCTCCAGTTATGGAATATTTTAAATATTTGCATTGAACAAATCAATTTATTAACCCCCAAAAGAGTGCCTTAGAGTTATAGGATTTATTTTTTACAAAGTCTATTCTTCGTGCTCTGGAGGTACTTTGATCTGCAGAAACATGCATTGTGAAACTGTAAGAGGCGCACCTTCTCCTTGCAATGCTATCCATGCATCTCTGGGATATGAATATGGAAATAATGGTAAAAGCCTAAGTCTGAGGCTCTTTATGAAGGTGAGACTGGGCACAAGTGGGCCTCCTGACACCCAGACAGGTCATCTGATTTGCTTTGCTTTCCGCCTTCTTCAAGTGGGAGCAAGTGGTGTGGAGAGAGGATGGGAAGGATGGGAGAAACAATAGCCTCAAAAGGCAGTAGGAACCACATGTACACAGAGGGAGGGACAGCATCTTTCTAGTCTCAGAACTTGGAAACCATCAACCAAACAAGTTAAATTAACTGACGTAACTCCCTTCATCACTCTCAACCACTGCCTGTCTGATTGGTGTGTGCTTGGAAAGGTCTATGGGGTCTGGAAAGGTAAGGTAACTCACAGGAAAAATGAAACCGAATTCATTTCTTTAAGAGCTAGGGAGCAATTTGAAGCAATAGATTATGTGTGTGTGTGTGTGTGTGTGTGTGTGTGTGTGTGTGTGTAAGAGAGAAAGAGATAGATTATGTACAGTCCTAAGTCCCTTTTATTTTCAGAAAATCAGTTCTCCAGTGGGAATGAGAAAAACTCAGCTTTAATTATGCAAAGAGACCCATCTCAGGTCTGCCTCTTCCCCCACACAGCCAAAGAAAAAAGAGACACTTGTAAATTACTGCATTGGTGATCCTATTCATCTTTTTTAAGTGACATTATCCATCTAATAAGTCTTAGTTCTTAATTGTTCTTACAAGAAAGATGCTTAATCGAAGCTAATGATATCGGGGTACTTGAATCACCACCGGAATTAATTTAGCATTCTAAATGCTTCATCACATTCCCTTTTTATTTCCGTCAATATTAATTAGATAATTTCCCCCCAATAGTGGGAAGTCCCAGGGATGACCCAGATATCTCATTTTTCTACCCACAGTAGGCAATTCCGAGAGTCTGACAGGCCACAGAAAGATTTGCTTTGGTGAAAGATCAGTTTCTAAGATTTGCCCAAATCTGGGATATTTACATGTACTTGATTTTAACACGCCATAACAAAAACCCAGTAGAAACAATGGGCCTGTGATATTAATGAAAATTCACAGAAAAGGAAATACCAATGACTCATAAAAGTAAAAAAGCTGTTTAAACTTACTCATTAGAAATGCAAATTAAAGCCACAAGGTTTTTTTTTTCCTCTCTTTCTTTTTTCTTTTTTACTTTTCAGATTAGCAGTAGTGAGGCTGTGGGGAAGCAGGTCCTGTCATACATTGGGGGAGGGGGGGAGGAGGTGGGATTTAACCTTCATAAAGGGCAATCTGGCGATATTGGACAAAGGCTGCGGAAAAGGGCAAGCGTCACCAACCATCTATAATAACAGACAAAAACTGAGATGTTCACCAGCTATCATATATCATCTTGGCAAGATAAATAAAGGACCTGTTTATTTGATTTCTTTACAGGTTCCTAATATTGGGACGCTAAAGCTCTGATTACTCCGAAATATGATGTTCGGGCAGATATGAACCCCACATCACAATACTGAGATAAAAATATAAAGGGCATTTTCTCACAGTTTGTGGTTGTTGCAGTTCTTTGAGATCTTGCCTGGATAATTAAAAGGGCAAAAGAACCCAAGGTATCAAAAGAAAGACATAAGACAAAATAAGACAAAGTGGAATGTGCACGTTAAATTCAAAGGGAGCGATAAGTGGAGAAATACTTTGGGAGCCGCAGAGCAAGCAGGACTACAAATGAGTTACATTTCTGCTTTAAAAGGCAACAAAAAACTTACATAAAATAAGTTTAGATGGACATATAATGTTCACAACTCAAGATTTCAAAAGGACACACGGAGAGAGGGGCACTAGATCACAGGGCCGCAGGGGCCAAGGCAGAGAAGGAAAAGGTGGGCCATTAAGTAGAGAGAGCCATAATGGGTGGTTTGTCTTGGTCTCTCTGGATGAACAGCACTCATTAGGGAATTTTGGCTTTATTCCTGGTGGCATCCTTGATAAAAACAGCTCCCAGTATTTGTACTCCAGGTCCATTTCAAGAAGAACAGATCAGTGAGCTTCTAGCATTTGCCTAGTATCGGGTAAAAGAAAGGAGAGCAATACGTGACCTGAAGGTGAAATCGATGAAGACTATAAAATGGTCAGGATATTAAACTGTTCCCTTTTTATATGCCTTGGACACGAAAACCAGAAGAAGAAAAAAAGAAAAAAAATAGACTTGAGGGTAATTATAAAGTAACAACACCCTCCGAACAGTTACAAAAAACAGGTGACTAGATATTGTCCATCTAAATTTATCCTCCAGTGAAAGAGCAAACATCTAATTCTCCCTGGATAAAGATTAATAAAGAGGATAAAGATGAATAAAGAGGATAAAGATGAATAAGATTTAAAAAATTCAGGTTGACTATTATATGGTTTTGATTGTTAAAGGGAGATTTTGGAGAGGTTGAAATTACTGCCTCTTACAAACCTCTAATAGAAACAATTCTTATTTACATATTTATTTAAAAAAATATATTTTTATTGATTTCATAGAGGAAGTGGGGGAGATAGAAACATCAATGATGAGAGAATCATTGATTGGTTGTCTTCTGCATGCCCCCTACTGGGGATCGAGCATCCAACTCGGGCATGTGTGCTCTGACTGGTAAGTGAACCCTGACGGTTTGGTTAATCGGTTGATGCTCAGCCACTGAGCCACACCAGCCAGGCAGAAACACATCTTTTCAGAAAGCACTTTACAATTTTAGTGCAACCTTACATCCATTCCTTCATTTGATGAGCAAACAGTATCATCCCTGTAATACCCGTAACATATAGAGACCAAAGCTCAGAGGCATTAAAAACTACCTGCGAGGCTGCACAGTTTAGAGAGGACTGAAGCAGAGATTGAAAATCTAGTTCATGATTCCAAAGATACCCACGCATATGTGTAAGTAATGGTACCCAGCTCTCTTTAAAAAATGAGGCATTCAGGTCCCCTTAAGAGTAACCAGCTTGGAACTACCAGTATTTTGACAAGTCTGTGCCAATGGTGTGCTGAGGGAGCTCTCCAAAATAGGTTCCACTTTAGCGACAAAGACACATGGATGCATTGTCACCATCCCGGACTCTCGATTCCCTGCACACAAAAAGGCAATGTAATTTTGAGCCATCGGCTGAGCAAGGAATTGATTTTCCCTTGATTCAAATTCCTGAGTAGGTTACTCTGGAAACCGGGGAAAGCTTTGCTCTCACCTGCTGGACATCCCACTTCAACATCAGGCAGATGCTAACAATTAGAGATGCTCAAAGAACAATGACCCATTTAGGAGCCGCCAGGATTGATCTTAGACTCCAGTTAATAGCTGGGGGGATACTGTGCCTTTGTTGAGAGCAAGAATTAAAAAAATAAGACCTTCATGAAGCTGCAGACCAGAGATTTAAAAAAATTTTGGTCTTTCCCCAATCTGCACCCGCTCCTATCTCCCTCCCTCTCACCATCCACCCAAAAGCTTCTTTTACTCAGAGTGGGGCGAGTGGTGGAAGGGCCTTCTTCTCCTCACACACTTGGGGTTGGGCTGTAGGCATTCTTTTGAAGTCTGGGAGCTAGAGGGTGAGATTATTCCTGCCCAAACCTGTCTAATTAGCTCAAATTCACACACTCACAAAATTACAAAAGCAGCAGGAAGATAATAAGTGAATTTAAATTTCAAAGAGATGCTTATATTTAGAAAGGGTTTGGTTAATTTTAGGAAAATATTTTATAAATTTCAGGGCATTGTGATTCCATGACGGTACATTATACATTTTTTGTACTGTGGCATAATACATATAATGTAAAATTCACCATCTTCACCATTTTTAATTGTAATGTTTAGTGGTGTTAAATACATTCATAATGTTGTACAATTAACACCACTGTCCATTTCCATAATTCTTATCATCTTATAAAATGGAAACTCTATACCCATTAAATAATACTTTTCCATTCTACCCTTCCCTACAGCCCCTGGTAACCTCTAGTCTACTTTCTGCCTGTAAGTTTGGCTATTCTAGGTAAGTGAAGTCACGTAATATTTGTCCCTTTGTGTCGGGCTTCTTTTACTTAGCATAATGTCCTCAAGGTCCATCCATGTTGTAATATATCAGAATTTTATCCTTTTTCATGGCTGAATAACATTTCTTTGTATGTATATAACACATTTTGTTAATCCACTCCTCTGTTAATGGACATCCAGGTTGGACCCACCCTTTGGTTACTGTGAATTA